CAAGTGTCGCCCAAGGTTCCCCCAAGGGTGCTGGGTTGGCGGGGGGTGTTGCCACTGGTGGGACCTGGCAGGACCCACTGCTTGCCACAGACACTGTGGGCAGGATGGACTGGCCTGTGGTCACCATGCCATGCTCTCGTTGGGGGACACCGGTACCCTGCTGTGCCTGGGGAGGTGGCTGCAGTGCCATCAGCATGGGGACCACAGCCCAGCCCTGCCAGCCCCTCCTGGAGAAGCCCCTTGGGTGACTGTGGTTGCCTCTCCCCAGGGTCAGGGGTGCTGGGTTGGCCACCCTGGGCACCACTGGCCTCCAGTAAGTGACATTACGGGAGGCAGTGGTCAGAGTACCCCCAGCTCCCAGGGCTGCGGGGATGGGGATTCGGGGGGAGCCAGTTTGGGGCGTCTCCGACCGGGGCAGTGTTCATAAACCCGCCAGAGCGACCTGGGGCTGGTGTCTGCGTGTCGGAAACAGAAACCAGCTGGGACCAACCCAGCCGGTCGGACTGCCCCCTCTGCCGCTCAGACCAGCATTCTTGGGATCCCAATCATCTCCAGAGCACTGGGCGTTGGGAGAAGAGCCGGTGGCCGGGCTGCAGAGCCCCAGGGTGGGCTCCAGCAACCCCCACTGTGCCGCCCACCTAGCTGCTCACACCTGGCTGCTCTGCCCTCTCAGCCACTGCCCTCGGGCAGTGCTGGCCAGGGACGGACGGACAGACAGACTCCCAGGATTGCGTTTCCTACACCGGGAGAGCTGCAGGCAGTCTGCGGCGCAGGCACGGCAAGGTGAAAAGCTTGGTCGGGAGGTGGCTTTGTTAGCACCAAAGCCCTAATTAAGAGCGGGGGGCTGGCAGGGACTGGACCTTTGGGGCAGGACCTTTGGGGCAGGACCTCTGCGGCTCCTTCTCAGGAGGAGGGATGTGCTTGGGGCTCAGCGCGTGGCAGGGACACGAGTGTACCGGTGCTCTGCCTGGTGCCAGCCTCCCGGAAAGCCTGGTATGGGGCTCACCGCCCTGGGGAGAGATTTGGTGGCCGGCTGCCCCTTCAAAGCGTGCTCCGGGCTCTGCTCCCCGCTGGGCTGGCCGTGCTGCTGCGGTACCAGGTACTTCTTATCTTGGTAATGTCAGGAATGCACCACGCTGGGGTTTTTTCCTCTGCTGTGAGCCAAGCATGCCAGAAGCAGAGACCCCACACCCTGCCTGCCCTGCCTCATGCAGGCAGCACTGCCCTCCAGCACCTGGCTGGCTGCCCGCCTATGCCAGGCTTGAGCATCCTTGGAGCTCCCGCGGCATTGCTCCCACAGAGCCGGGGCACGGTGTCCCACTTGTCAAAGGGTGTTTGGGGTCCTGGCACAGGAGCTGGGCTGCAGGGTGCCAGGCCTGGGGACACAGGGTACCGTGGCAGACAGGCTGGTGCTAGCAGGACCTGGCAGTGCCCGGGGCCAGCTGCTGGGCTGGCTGGCAGCAAGTGCTGGGGCTGCATCATACCTTGCTGCCAGCTCAGGTCTGCACCCATGCTGCCAGTGACCTGGCCTCATAGCATGGTGCATTGCAGGGGGTGTTTGGGGGAGAGCCAGGTCCCTGGGCTGGAGTGTAGGGACATGGTCCTGTCAGTGGCCACCGCTCATGGCAGTGCTCCCTGTGCCAGTGCAGGAGCCTCAGATGCCTTGGAGCATGACCCAGCGCAGTGCGCGGCTGGGGATCACTCAAACTCTTCTGGGGAGTTGTGCTGGGGCATTGGTCCCCCGCAGCATCCCCAGCATCCTTCTCCCTCTGCGATGCCCTCAGCATCCTTCTCCCCTCCGACACCCTCAGCATCCTTCTCCCCAGTATGGGCTCCTGGCTGGTGACCCTCCTTAGAGCCCCACTGTGCCCCAAGATGGTAATGTGGGCTGGAGAAGGATGGGCTGGCAGCGCCGTACTCACCCCGTAGGAGCTGAGACCTGCCCCACATGTGGAGAGCCCTTCGTAGGAGTGGTGGGTGCTTTCCCTATAGATGAGCTGCTGTAAGGCCCAGCTGGGGCAGCAAGCACTGGTGCCATGGGCCTTGTTTGCTCAGTGGGGAGCAGATTAAAGAGCCCTGCAGAGGGTAATCTGCCCAGACCCTGCAGGTCAGCCAGGCTGCCAGGGATTACAGCTCCTCCTAATGAGCTTAATTGGGACAACGTTGTCCTGGAAACTGGAGGGACTAGCACGGAGATAACGGTGAGGTGGTGGGACCCCCAGCGTGGCTCTGTGGTCTTGGGCTGGGACCCAAGTGCCAAGGAGGATCCAGATGGACTTGCTGTATCCCAGCTCTGCTGGGATAGAGGTTATCGGCGGTGGCTGGCTTTGATTCCAAATGGCTGTGGCTCATCCTGGATGCTGCGAATGCCTGGCCTCAGCCTGGCATGCAGGGAGGTGACGGCATGGCTGCGGGGTGGTAGGGAGTGCAGCAGCAGGGGGATGTCCACTGGTGGTGAAGCAGGTGTGTGCCATGCAGGGCCAGTTTGAGCTGGGCTCCTGGGCTCTGTCATGCCAGGGGAAGGAGTGGGGATGGTAGCGGGAGCCCTGGCAGTGCCTGCATCCCTGTGCCATCCTGGGTGCTGTTGGGGCCAGGGGCTCGCTGCTGGCCATGCTGGGGGCAGGAGGAAAGGCAGAATAAGCCCTTAAGGCATGGGGTGGTGGTTCTGGCCCCATCTGCCAGTCAGCGAAGCTGTGTGTCCCTAGGGCCCTGCCTGGCCTTTCCTGGCAGGGTATGTGACTGCCAGGCACTGTGTGGGCTTGTCTCTAGCAGCTCCTGGCTCCCCACTCCGCAGCTCAGCTCTGGGCACTGGCGGGAACATAGGGACCAAGTTGGTGTCAGGGGTTGCTGGGGTGAAGTGGAGCATCCAGCAACCTCTGCCCTGCTCCTGGGACTGTCCTGAGGGCTGGGCTCCTCCATGTGCCCAGCTGGCACTGCTGGGGGTATCAGGGCTGGGAGGAGCCCCGGACTCCCCTGCTCTTGCCTTGTGCTTTGATTTGCCCTCCCTGAGCCCCAGCCAGGGCTGCAGCGATGCTCCCTGCGATATGGGGTGGCAGCTGGGTCTGGGCCCTGAGACTCAGAAATCTGCTCTGTCCTTGCTGGCATCGATTGCACTGGCTGCTGTGGGTTTTTTAGCAGTATTGGGGTTCCTGGCACCATCTCTGGCGCTGCCAGGAGCAGAGGGGAGGGCTGTGGCAGCCATGGGGCTGGACATGTGCTGCCCGTGCAGACTTTTCACGGTCCAGCAGGGAATGGCTCGGCCTTTCCTTCCCCAACGCAGAGCTCCTGGCAAAGCTGGGGACTTTCCAAAGTGCTTTGTTGCCCGTGGGTTTCCCTCCTGGTTGCTGGAGTGAGCGGAAGTGAGTGCAGAGACAGCGAAGGGCTGGACGGCCAGATCTGGCCCCACGCCCTTCCTGCCCCTACAGTGGGGTGGCTCAGGCGACAGCAGGACATGGGCCAAGTGGAGTTCAGGAGGAGGTGGCTGGGTTGGGGCACAGAGGAGGGTTTGCCATGGTCATGTCTGGGAAGGGCTACAGGAGGCACTGGGCATCAGCCTTTTCCTGTGGCTCCCATGGGGCTAAGCTGGGACACGTCCATCTGTCTGTCCCCACTGAGTGCTCACAAGTGTCCGGAGCCCTTCTTCACCCAGGGCAGGGCACCAGCACCATCGCTGGGGGCAGCATGGGACCTATGTCCCTTGGTGCCACCCGGAGTGTCCCTGGGCTGAGAGGGAGGGAAGGCTCCCAGCCCGTGGGTGACGTAGCCACCCTGGTCCGTGGGTGCTGTTCCCATCCTGGTGTCTGTGGCAGCCCTGCTGCGTGTGTTTCCCCACCCTGCTGCTGGTGACCCCACTCTCTCATGCCCCTTAGGGAGGCCCTCCAGGTCACACTCAACAATGTCACTGTCTGTGCGCCCGCAGCGCCGAGTCCTCGTCACCAAGATCAATAGGAGCCAGTCCTTCGCTGGAGTGAACTCAACGGCCGACCGGCCCTTCAGGTAGGAGATGGGTGCTTGTGCTGCCTGCCATGAGGGACAGGGATGGGGATGGGGACAGGCTTGGGCATGGTGGTGGGACCTGCTGTGCATCCTGAGGTGCCTTCCTGACCCACTGCATCTCCCACAGGGACCTTTGTGGTACCCATGGGCTGTTGCACGGGGGGCTGCAGGGAGCATCAAGGCCAGATGGGAGACAGAGCACATCACCCCAACCCTCCACTGTGCCGTGTCCCAGGCTGAGTGAGGATCCTGCAGCCCTGTGGCTGCTGCCACCAGAGCGTAGAGGGGGCAGGTGTAGCTCACCCTCGTTCTTCAGCCAGCTCTTAAGAGCTTCCCCGTGACCATCTCATCATGTTTAATGGGTGTGGTGAAGGAGCTGGGGCGGCTTTGAAGCGTTGTGTCTTGACAGCCTTGACATCCTGCGGCGGCCAGTTTTGGGATTTGAGTTCTGGTGTGAATCAGGGTTTCCTCTGGGTCATTTCAAACCTGTTGCTGAAAGGTTTTATTGGCTGCCCGTCAGCTACGTTGTGAGGAGCAGCCGTTCCCTATTCATCCTCTCCGGCCACTGGTGATGTTATGGACTCATCACACCCTTCCTCCTCCTCTCCGCTGAACCTCATGTTGGTGAGAACCACTCCACATGCTGCTCATGCCTGCCACCCTCCTCCACACCATGCCTAGCTCCTGGCTACCCTCTTGCAGGTGGTTCTCAGGACATGGGCATGCCATGGGTTTGGGCTGCAGGACTACGGCATTTTAATGCTTTTAATCCCTTTTTCTAGTGCCCAGCCAGGCTCCTTACCCCCCAGTGCACCCACTGGTGTCAGGGGAGAGACATCTATCAGCCAAATGGCTGGGGAAAGCAGTACCAAGCTGCCTTGCCAGGCTATGGGCACCTTCACTGGGTGGGCACAAGCACAGGTAGAGGCTCCCCATGCCTGGGAGCAGACCTCCGGCCCTGCTTGGCTCTTGTCCCCAGGTCCTGTCCAGCCTCTGGGCCAAGTGACGCTTTCCAGGCCACCGGCACATCGCTGGATCTGGGGGTGCCAGAGGGGACAGGGGAGAGGGAGGACTTTTGGATGCCCGCAGCCAAGTGGCTGGTGGAGAGACGCTTGTGGGAGATGCCTTCAGGGGCCCTGGAGGACTAGAATGAGGAGGGATGGTGGAAATCAAGTGCTTACCCATCACTTTGGCTTGGGAGGAGGCCAGGACATTAATTTCCTCCCACCAATGATTCAGGGAAATCTTTTGGCCACTCCTGCAAAGAGCGGCACAGGATGGGAGGTCCAGCCCAGGGCTGGGAACCAAGGAGCTCAGGGTGTCTCCTGGGCACCAGTGGTGCGATGATGCATTGGAAGAAGGAAGGGAAGAGCCAGTCTGAATGGGGCATTGCTCACTGGGCTGGGGAGTGATTCCGTTGCACAAGGCAGGAAGGGCAGTGTTCAGGTCCTGGGCACTGGGTTGGCATCCCTTCAGGTCAGCTGGGGGAGGTCCCCAAGACAGTGGTGGGGCAGGTGGAGGCAACAGGCAGCCGCCAGCTCCATATGGTGGGTTTGGTGACATCTGGAGAAGCGTAGCTTCAGTGAGGATGTCCCTGTCCTATGTCACTGCACTGTGTGATGGGGTGACAGGGCTTCTTGTCTCCAGGATGTTCCCATGTTGCCACCCGCTGGGATCCCTTGCCTGTCCCTGGCAGCACACGGTGGTAGGGCAGCAAGCCAATGGTGGCATGTTTTACCCTGCCACACTGCCCAGACCACAGGGAGCATCTCCATGCCCCTGGCAACCTCGGGTGCTGGAGATGGAGCAGAGCATGGCCCCTTCAGAGGGTGGCCAGGGCTGGAGATGCCCCCACAGGCACTCCAGTGTGCAGCTTGGCTCTGGCTGGTGCCAGCCCCTTTTGCCTCTGCTCCCTCCAACCGGCGCCTGGGACCCCCCCACCTCCACAGAGGCTACACCATGGCCAGCCCTCTGACCCCGCTGGAACAAGGTTAATTCCCTGCTCTTGTCTACTGCTAGCTTCACGGCTTTCTCCTTGTCCTTCTCATGGCTTTCGAGCAGCCA